ATTATAATATTATTTTGAATATGTACTTATGCAACGCATTGGCGCTGATGCGGTGGTTATGAAGATAAATTCGCCAGCAAAGGTTATGCGAAATTCCAATGGGGATTTTTAACCGTGCGCAGAACACTAACGGTTAAGACCACTATACAATTAAGCCGAGAATATTAGATTGCTATATTAACGGCAACGACTTTTGTCGATTATCCGCCTTCATCAATTAAAAATAAATAACAAATATAACTCTGACGGCTTAACCGAGTTTAAATTGTTCCTGATACGAAACGTTAATGACGTTCCAAAGGTATATAACTTTTCTTTTTTTTACTAATTCAAAGCCATTAGAGTATCATACTATTATTAATTTTTATACAGCCAGTATTAGCTATAACAAATAATGTACATTTTTGGCTTGGTAACGTTTTCGATCTATGATTTGATACATATAATAAAAAACACATAATTTTTTTAAACATCCTTTTCTTTACAGTCTCGGGTTTGCATCTGGACATATTTCCCATTAGGCAAGATAGGCACGAGCCAAGTTAAAGGGACCTCACTTCTATTAGGTACACACTCATTATATCATATAGCCAATAGGTTTTCCTTGATATATAAACAATACACAAAACTCAAACTAGAACCAACAAATAGTAGGTATATAGTAATATAGTATACATTGTATTAGGTCGTATAACTAATGCAGTTTTTACCTATTCCAACACAGTATTGTTCAAAATATTTTAGTTGCAGTTTTTTCTAATTGTATGATAATACAACAAAAATTGGTATTATTACACGAAGCTAATGCCCTATGCATGAGGGTAAAATAACTATAGACTTTCCTATAATACGTATAGTGATGGAATGGCGGACGATTTCTAGAGTTATAATTATAAGAACAGCTATATAAATTAGACTAAGTAGAAAATAAATGTGAAAATTCTAAGTTTTTGAAAAAATTGACGTTGAAATTTGAAATATGGGAAGTACTTTAATGCCCTTTTAAAAAATCGGTATTATTACTCGACCAAGTGGTTCCTAGTAGTAGTAATATAATAGTCAACATAAAACAATTTTGGAAAAGGCATTTATTTAATTTATGATATGGGGGCCACCAAAAACATTTTCCCTCGTGGTTCAAGATGTCTAAATCAGGTCCTGGTCTTAGCATTGAAGCTAAAATAAATATTTATATACAAACTAAGGTGTTCCTTGTGATTTACGGACGTGTAGCTTTGCAGACGGAGTTTGGATTTATTTGACTGACAGTGGTTTTTTTTTTTTTTTGGCAGCCCACAAAAACTGAACGTCCAACGGTTCTCGGCGCTTCCGACCATTTTTCTTATGTAATGCCGTGGAGTTTTCTCTTTTTGTCAATACATGTTCACACGGTTAATCGCAGTTTTATCGATGTCGTTTATTTACTCGTTTTATACGGCATCTCGCGTTTGAAACCATTGAGCTGTTCCCGCCAAAACAACCGAGACGTTACAAAAATACAAAACGAACAATGAAGACGGTCACCGTCCGTCCATATCTGTTGTAATGGAATTCTCTAGCCAACTCTCAGTGCGAGATGATTGATTCTTTCGGTTGTTTATAGTGTCTGGCGACCCACCGCTAAACGTTTTTGCCGGACATTGAAACGCACTCCACTTATTATTATACAGCAAATACAATTGTTATTAGTATCAATCCACCTGTCAATGCAACCTCCGAGTCCAAATTACAAGCTGATAAATCCCATTGAAAACAATTCGCCGAAAAACGAGAGAGTCCCGTCTTACTCCGGTTTGGTTTTAAGTCAATCGATTATATGTTATATCTTTTCGCACATCACCACTCGAGTGTACCCATTTATGTGTAGACTTGGCGACTCCGAGACCATACGACGAAATTGCGATAATGCAATTTATTAAATTTTCTTGTATTATTTTCATAGAATTGTCATATTAGCGTTTATTCTACCATAGATTTTTGTAAATCCATTATAATACTCTGTTAATTTAATGTCATTTTTTTCATATATCCAAAGGATAATAATATTATGATATAACCATTTATTATCTTATTTCAAGATACTATAATATAGAAAACCATATTTTTCAATATGGAAGTCGATATAATATCTTTGGTAAATAACTTATTATGTAACATCACTTATTTTCCGTTTTCAATTTCTATGATATTAAAACTGTACACAGTACAAATAAAAACTGTTTTTGGCTTACATATAAGAAAGTTCTCGAAATGTTTTCAACAGCCAAGTAGATATATTATTTATATATACCAGTTCACAAACACATAACCTATTTCTGTGTAATGTTGCGTGTAAAAAATATACTTGCGGTTCGATAGGGTGGCGCTTTTGGTAATTTCAAATTAAATGGCCGCCATTACTCACATATTTCGACGACCGGAAACCATAGCGATGTACCGGGTTAGTCGTTTTTACCCAAAATCTATATTTATAAACACATTAGCTAAAATGTCCTTATAAATTATTTTTGCCAATAAAGAAATATGTGCTGGATTCACAATATTGTATTTGATTTATATATTTAAAAAAATATCAGTTACAAAATACAGCTACATTTGTATTTTAGAAGTTCCGTGTACCCAAAAACTTAACCTAACTCTGTACACAGCTGTATGTTATAGTACTACACAAATAATAAAGATTTAATATGTTTAAATCTTTAGTACTTGGTAAAATCTTTGATAATCTAATATCTTTGGTAAAAAATGTATTTTTTACTTTTTTGAAACGGGAACTTTTCTTCTAAGAAATATTTTTGAAAAAAATGACATGTCGTTGTCTGTAAAATGTTGTTCCCTTTCATTTTCATTATTGGCCGAGTAAAACGCATCCTGCGGGATATAACGACCTCTTGAAGTCTTAAAACGTATTTTCCAACCGAATCAAATTGTTTACAGGCCGAATACATATTATTTTTATTCACGTACGTCCATAACGCAAAGAAGGAAATATCCGGTTGCCTTATAGCCGCTCGTAGTGTTTATTATTATAATAATAATACATTTCCTATATCATATTATCCGTGTTCCGGGTGTGCTATTGGCGACGAAATTTGTCAGTTACGTGAATGCGGTGTGTACCTTATGTGTGTGGTGTGTGTGCCTGCAGCGAAGCGACGGCGGATAATAGTAATACTGATAGTAATAATAATAATATATACAATACACAAGGAGCCGGTGCTAGGCCGGATTATCCCGGTGACCATTATCTTGTCATCGAAACGACGCGTGAAAAATCGCATCATCCGCAAACAATTATTGTGAACATTATTGCTGTTAACGTCGTCTTATCCGGTGTTTGTGCATTTCTATGATGCGGCTACCATCCGGACGTTTTCAGGAGATAACAATTTTACTGACCGAAAGAGAAATCTCAAGTGTCCGCATGTGTCATTTAAAACGTGCGTTACCTATATCATTTTTTTTTTTATTGATTGGTCGTCCGGCGTGGGACGGTTGGAAAGCGAGAACCGTTTGGATTAGTCGTGTTAACGATCCGAAAAAATAATGCACTTTACTTAAAACGAAATTGAATTCAATACCCTAAACTATACAATACAATCACTATACAAATTACAAAGGCGACGCGAGTCTAACCACACGCCTAACCTGGCCGCGAGTGCTTATAACAGATTAGGGAGCATTATATGGTTTAATTTAAACGGTTTTTTTTTAAACTGTCAAAAAAAAATCACTCAACAAGTAGCGGATTAGGAATGGAATGTAACCTGAGTTGGGCGAAAATTCAATAAACAATTAATAAAAATTAAAACAATTCGAATAACGTATTAAATAAAATAAAAAGATAATATTTGTTTTCGCACAATACATCTGTAAAAACTTTAATAAAGACCATTTTCCAAAATTTACATAAAGTGCAATTGGTGATTTATTAGAACGAAGGTACAGATTTGTATTCGGATAAATCACAAAAAAATCAATTGAACAAACGGTTATTCGAATAATTAATAATTTTTTCAACCGAAAAATGTCTAGCTCTACATGATTACCGCTTGCTTCCATAATTCTTATGCATTTGTAAAAAACAATGGTATAAATTATAATATAGGAGGACACGGTGTACTTAATCCACAATGAATAGGGTTTCTACCATATGTTTTTCCCATAAATCCATATAATACTCGTGATTAGTCAGTCCCGGCTTTTGTCTTGTTGTCTTCATTACTTTAATGACGCCATTGCCAAAAGATGAACGTTTTTCCGAATTAGGGAGTTATCCGTCTGTGAGTATTGTGTTACAATAATGGTTTGGGAAATAACAAAGCGATAATATGCCTTTCAATGTATTCCTTTATCGTGTATAGAATTTCTTCAAAGCCACAATGTAATTTACGTTCACGTTTGGTTCGCGTACATTGAATCCTATGTAAAAATATATGGACACTTAAGTGTTATTCTTAATGTTTTTTTTGTCGGTACTACCCAAAATAAACAAACGAGATAACAATAGTTTTGGGATAACCAACCAGTCAGCGGGTATACAATTTCGCGCATGAGATATAGAACCATAGATTAACTTTCATTCTTTCTCGCAAAAATCGCAATACATGATATTTTCACCCAATGACATGATTATAATAGTTTGAAAAGGACAAGGCAATGTGTTCAGCAAAATTGAATTTAACGACGAATAAAAACAAAAATCGAATCAATCGAAATAAAAATATACTAATTTATTTGATTATACCTAATTAATCAATTATGTTTTCAATCAAATAATATTTTACTGTAATATTTCCTCACTCTGTTTGATAAAAAAGTATACTAAATGTTTTTTTGAAATGCAAGTACATGTAAAGATTAAGAACAGTAATTGACGGTGTATTTATGTCCACACATAATTGTTATCCAATCTTGTTGATTTATAAATGTTTGTGTGCTGAAATAATTTAACGACTACATAGGTACTTAAGTAAATTCTATTTAAATTCGTTTTTCAGCTTTTGAACACCGATGTGCAGCAACCCAATTACGAGCTGGAAAGGTCTTATGTCGACCACGGGGATCCGATTGGCGACTATAGTAGGCTGAGCGTGCCCAGAGAGTATAACGTGCCCGAAAAGACTCTGATGGAACTGTTCAACCCAGCGGTACCACATCATCAACGGCCAAGGTCTTAAAATTGCGGAAGATATTTGAATCTTGAAACATTTTTATTATATATAATAATCTATTATACATAAATTTATATAAACTTATAAATTACACATATAATATAAACTGTCCTTTAAGCTCGGTTGTGTTTGATGCGAGTTACTATAACTATGATAGCTTTTCCTTGGAACAATATATTTTACCGATTTTATTACAAAAAATGAAACTTAGTCAATAGATTCGCATATCCGATTATCTAAACATGTTACTTTTTCTCTTACTCGTATTTTATGTAATAACCCGTTAACCATAAATTATAATACCTTTTAACTGATGTTTCATATTGTTAAAGAGTTTAATGGAAAATAAATAAGTTTGCTAAAGTATAAATGTCTTATTATTACTTATTCAACATTATAGGTACTGATAAAGCCTACCACGAAAATCGTCACACGGTTTTCCCCTGTTATAAAACATAAAAAGATAATAACTATAACCCTCATTTTATATTTTATATATTATGTAGTCCTTTAAATTTTATAACAGTGTTATAATTTGTTACTTAGATATTTTTTTTATCTGATTTGGTACAATTTTTCATAATCTCGCGCTGACTACATAAATTTCCATTCAGCGTCACCGGCATTAATTATATCATAGAAATACAACATAGTATCAACATTGACTCATTAAATATTTTGAAAATAAGTCAATAATTTGTAAGTAACATTAATATTACAGTACCGTAGCCATAGAGAAATTTATCTATAGCTTTTGACTTTAATATACAACAACGATTTTACAAAAAAAATCATAAATAAATAAAGTTAAAGTGTACCTATCTAAACATATAATAGCCAGTTTTAAACAATAAACATACTTTCCTCATAGTTTATAATCCATACTAGTCTCATTCGGCGTTACTTAAATAAAGAATTAGTGTTGCAAACAAAAAACATTCATTAGTCTAACAAAATACAACACATGTTAGTAATATTTCTTGGAGTGTTTAGGTACATGAACATGACTAACGGAGCTATACATATAATGTTCCAGAATAACGCCTTTATAGATATCAACAAGTTACATCAGTCGTAATATTATATTTAAAAAATAACGATTTCCCGTTTCATACAATTTCAGTATGATTTAATAATGCATTTGAGTAATTTAATATTATATCAGGTATATCTTGTAGTTAAGAGTGACTTTTTTTCAACACAAAAATTTAATATACATATTGCACGGTTATTAATATTTTCTCTTACTTATTTTAATCCACAATGTTTTCATTTATCTGGTTATTTGATTTTAACCAGAATGCAATTGTACCCAACTGGGTCTAAGGTAGATACTTGTTTATAAATAATATATATTCATTTATATGTGCGTATAAAGCGTACGTAGTATAAAATATAAAAAATTATTTAATGAAATTCTAACAAAATTGATTTAATTTAAAACTAATTGTATTTATAAACTTTTTGCTCCAGTACTTTTTTCCTTTCACATTTTCGCAACAAAATGTGTAAATTTTACACACATTACACTTATACAATATTACAGTTCTGATTTACTTATTTTGTTGTTAAACACAGAATACAATTTTGAATCAAACGTTTAATATGTAAATTAATACAAAAATGATGACTACAAAAATATGTACATTGTATAGCTAATAATTAATATTTAACTATACAGCAAAGCTATAACGAGCGTAGGTGAATGCAAAAATATATGACATTTTCGGCCATTTTTTTAACAGTGATACACCTATATTATGGCTTTTATATGTGTAAAACAAAATATCGAACCCGTGTCAATCAAAAATAGTTTTTATGCATGACTTTTTTTGTAAAAGTAGAACAAAGTACACCAAAATGAACAACAAAATACAAATATTAATAATAAGTTCTTTTGCTAAATACTATCATGACAACAAAATCTGTTATAAATTGTAATAATAATGACAATAATAATTTATTCGAGCACTTATCAAAAGAGCATGAACTGAATTTATGGCAAATGCTTATTATTCTGGTGGCATAGTCTTTGGGTTTTTGTTTCATTATTGCGTCATTCAATCTACGCGGCATATTGAACAATTTTTTTCGATTATGTATACTCTTTTTTCTTCTGGTAACTTCTTGGTAAAAGTTCAAACAATAGGTTGGCGGTTGCACGGAATGTTAAGTGATTGGGAAATCTTAATTTTGGCCTTCTATAGAGCTAAAATATGTAAACATACTTCGATACATACTACGATTATTTCATATAAGCGGGCACATATCGGCAAGTGAAATAAACATAGTCAGGATGTTTAGATTCTGTTGAAATATTTTTGACATTTACAGGTTAAAAACGGTTTTAGTTTTAATCGATTTTAATAAATCAAAAGCATAGACTTTAGCTGCGAATACTCTTTCTATCCGACTATAAACGTTGCATTGACCTATATAGACAAGTACCTTACTACATTTATACTGTAGGAATTTATAATTAGTACTTAAAGTAATAATAATTATTAGCAATTTTTTTTTAACGCGCTCAGAATAACTAATAATTATGTAAAATAAGTTTCGTATAAATTTAAATGTTAAAGTATGGATAATTTTATAAGACATAACCGTTTGATTATAACAAAAAAAAATTATATAATAATAATTTCTAAACGTGTGTACTACCGTATACACGACAAATAGACAAGTGAAGATAGTGTTTGATTGAGAAACGTGAGTATGGCACCATTTCAAAGCGTAAACGAAGCTAATTTAATTGTTTTATAATAAGTATTTAGTACATACAAGTACATGTAAGAAGAATGAAAAAAAATCCATGTCACGGTCACGAATGGGAAAGAAAATATGACTTAAATTTCAACAGTTTTCAGTAACAAAGAGAAAATAGAATATTTACAACTGTGAGTCATATGCAGAAATATAACGTTATATTATTAAGTGTATAGATAGTCGGACAATACAAGTATAATATTATAGCCGTTGATTTTTCATCATCATAAATCATAATGCACGATGAAAAGACAATTTTAGAATGTATTTCCAAAATAATTTTTTTGATTCGTTCATTGTGATGTTAAAAGAACGGCAAAGAGTAGACAAATAATTTAACTCCATGATAATAGTAATAATGTCAAAAACATTTTTAAAATGTATTATTATATAATGTCGAAAAAAACAATTAGAATGCAAAATAATATAATTTATAATAATAAAAATATATTATATTCTCACGATTTCTCTACACATATGAAAATGGTTCTATTACATGAACATAATTTAAAATTTACTTTAATTTAACTAATTAATAACTAAAGGAGTAGAAATCACAAATTTTAGATTCTAATATGTTACGAAACGTTATTGTTATTTTAAGAAAAGATAGCCGGGCAGCTCAGTTACATGATTCAGAAAATTTCATTATACTATTATAGTGTTATATAATTGAATACAATTTCGGGTCAGATTATAATACAAATTATAAGTTTTATAAGTTGAGTTTAGTTAAGAACTGAAACTAAAGTGTGTACAATTTTTAATATTAATTAATCGATGTACAAATAAAAATTCATAATTTCGTAAAAAAAATAACATAATCCAAATTTGTTGACAATATTAAACAGTCGAATTAGGTATGTTGTAAATTGTAATGTATGAACAAGTCAACATAAATATGTGATTTCCTCAAAAGTAGTAATACTTTTACTTCAATATACAGAGTGATTTTTTTTGTCATGGTCCACTCAATATCTCACTGGGTTTAATTAACGATTGAATGTTTTTTTTCATAATGTTATCATTTAATGTGATCTCAGTTTTACACAAACTTTTATGTTCTTATCCCTCTCCCAAATTAATTATTTTTATATTAGCTTTTGAAACTTAAATGGTAAATTATACATTTCACTAACTTTTTAAATTGAGAATAATGTACTAAACATTTTGACTGGTCGATATTCAGTTTTGAATTACCATTTTTGAAGTTATTACATTTTCAAGTTCAGGGCAGGAGGAAAGGCGGAGTGTAGTATTATTTTTATCTGCGCGCACTTTTCACCCGCACTTCCCCTCCTGTCCTAACTTTTAAACTCTTATAACTTTAAAAATAGTTGTTCAAAACTGATTATCAACCAGTCAACTTTTTTAGTAAAATATTCTCTTAAAAGTTTGTAAAATATATACGTTTACCATATAAAATTGAGATCAAATTATATAAAATCACTATGAAGAAAAACAACTTAATTATTAATTAAATCCAGTGAGGTATTAAGTGACTTATAAAAAAAGGATCACTCTGTATATATATATATATAAATAACATTAGAACAACTGTCAACTAGAGAGACTCTTAGGAAAATGAGATTTTACAAAGACCCTCAAGGGTCGACGCGCCTAAAGACCAGTCAATAAATATTGTGCTATTAAATGTGTAATTGACAACTCTATGTTGAACAAATAAAGAGAACTTAGAATATGAATCCAATATGTATACCGTTTTAATTACAAAAAACACCTGTTCGCATCAGTTTATCTTTAAAACGCCAAATTAAATTTAAATGTTAAACCAAAACCAATGATATTAAAAAATGAGGACACCTTAATCATATAAGGCACCATGATAAAAGTCACTTATCCGTATAGAAACAAAAATATTGTACAATAATAATGTTTTAGGAAAAATGTTCTTAAAATTATTCATATTAGGATCGTATAACTGGTGTAAAAATGGTTAATTCACTTGTTGTCATATGTAAGTACATATTTTACAATTATAAGTAATTTGATTATTAAAAAAAAATATATTTTAATGAATATTTAAATTAAACCAAATTCGAATCGCCACGCTATTCCTAACGCTTAATTATTTAAATAATTAAGTATATATAAGATAGTATTTTTATTCTTATAAAAATACATTGGAGTAATATTTTAAAACGTAATTTATTTGAACTAAAATGTTATACCAATAATTATTTTTTAAATTTGAATCAAAATTCGTTATCAGTCGAATAACATTATTTGAAATTTATTCGAAACATGTAATTTGTAATTAACCCGAATAACGTAATTTGTAAAATAATCGAATAATATAATATTATCTATCTATTAATTTTATTCATACGTTTATTCGATATGCTCCTAGTTTTTATTCGTTTGTAATCATATTTCGCTAAACTCTGCTTTTACATAATATACATACATATGTATACAAATTTACACAATTTTTCTCCGTTTTTGTTTTTTATACCCTTAAAATTGCTATAGATTATTGATTGGGATGGGTTATTGTATAAATTATGCCGATTTTTACAATTCAACCGAGGAATTTCCGTTGGGTGCTACTGAGTCGAAATCAAATGAATTAAATGTCAATTTAATTGCCCGTATGGCGACCGCCATTAGGTCGTTTTCATAATGCCTACAGGTCTAATTTCCCGGGGGACAAATGCCTACCTACGTGAATCCGTATAAATACAAAGTAAATGACCTAACCGATGCCAGGATATCATGTCATTAGCTACGCATAAGTCAAACGGCTAGTTCTGCAATTTTTTTTCGGAGTTCTTCAAATCAATATCAAGCGTTACGCGATCCAAGTAAGTTTTGCAATATTTTATTTTACTCAAAGTTATAAGTGTCTTTATTATTTTTGGGATTTGGGCGTTTTTAATAATATTGCTCTCGGCTTCGGTGTTTTGAAATAAAAAGCCGCAGTACACCGAGGTCGGTGTATTCACAGAACTGTAGGAATTATTATGCCAATGAATTCACTTTCAAATAAAACGTTTCGGTGCGAATCTGTAGATTGTAAAAACATAAAATATTGATAAAAATCATTTTAAATGCAATTATGAACTGTTTTTTAGAATTAGGATGGACACGATTCGGGTTAATCGTCTGTCTACTAATTAGCCTTTGTTCGTTGCCCCAATAATCCATTTACGATACTTTTGAATTATAAAAACCACATGCGATAATATACTATTATTTTATTTCGGCTGGACTTTATTTGCACATTGCCTACGGTGTGTGTTACACATGTAAAATATAGATAAAAACAAGTTTACAAAATTGGCAAGCTTATTACCGACTGTTATAGTATGCTTGAGTTAATTTCTAGAACTATAGATACAATTCTATTTTACAAGACGTTATGATAAGATGTATTATTTTAAACGTTCTCTTACTACTATAGAAATTATTATTAAAAATTAATGTTATTTAATTATAGCTTTTTTTTTAAAAATAGCACTGAGTAGTAGAGAGGGTTTTTTTTGGATATTCAATGTTTATGCAGTTGTTATGACTGTTTTTATGTTTCGGAAAAAATATACTACCATATATACCCACGAATTCATTAAAATAAAAAAAAATCCCAGTGTAAATCCCACGGGCACGTTACGTTAATACTGATTAGGTTATTATAATGAACGGGGAAGAGTTTCGTCCCGTTCTAAGTCGAATACTCTCAAGGAAGTAGTAGTTCATAATAAGTGTGTTTTATTATCGCATGTCCGCAATCATTTGGAAAAGAGGAAATACGTCATTTTATACCTACCACATTTGTAAATATGTTTTAGCCGTTTAATTCACTTTGTTCAGTCTAATTTTTCGTTAAAAAAAAAAAACTGTAACGTAAAAGTGATATTATTATCTAAACAATGTTGTTACATGGCCACTACGCACGCATCTACATATTATTATTTATAGTAAATATATTTTAAATTAATTAAAAACGAATACGTATTCACGTTATTTTTAAATAATTGAACCCGTCGCCGTTTTTTATGATATTTTTTACGAGTTATACCGCTCCATATAGTCATTATATAGCTGTTAGCATAACTGAACGATAACCATCATTATACGTTTTCCTTGGAAAAAATTATCCATACACCGGAAGGCGGAAACACCACGCGAAACCCGTTCGATTTCTAATAATTGTAAAATTTCCAAACGGGCCAAGAAACATACGAATTTGTAGAAGTTTTATGGGAGGTAAAGTACGCTTATTACTGTGGTTTATGAACCGTCTACTGATATTACAATGTTATATGCTTTATTGTTGTATTTTAAACCTTGTTAATTATCTCATACGTTAGCGCAGACCAGTTAATTTTTTTCGGATATCATGTTTATTTTTTTAGCATCGAAGTTGGGAAAGTATTGTTTTTTAACAATAATGTGTTATATAAAAGGGTATCGGAGGGTGTCTTGGTTACTCATTTTTCACATTATTTTCATGTAAGCTAACAGTGTCTTTAATTATTACTTTATTGTATTAGTCATGGTGAATTATTACTTTATCATTATTACTATACAAATTATGTTAATTTTTTCTCGATCCACACAAACCTCAATATTCAACATATCGCTTATTTATCTATTTTTTTTTTCAATTTCGTGTCGAGACCTACGATTCTTCTTAACCACTGAACCGATTTGTTATGTAGCAAGTCTTAGATAATATGTTGTACTTAAAAAGCACTTCGTTGGGCCAAAAGTTGAGATATGTCACTCCTTACTCTTCAGTATTGAGATAAACACAAACAATTTGTATATTTTTCCAATTAAAGTTATGGCGTGCTATCACTTTTTAAAAATGTATCTACTTCAAATATTGTATGGAATATTTTGTAGATAAAGTACTATCGAGAAACGTTAAAAAATATGAAAAACCCTTTCCCCCAGAAGGGTGGCAACTATTTTTGTAATTCACATTTTTGGACGTAGTTTTGTGACTTATGGTCATAAAATAAGACTGAAGTATGGACTAGAGTGAGGCTATAACACATACACATTTCTTAAAAATCTATTATCAAACTTTTTTTATTATTAAGGAAAAACTAACACAGTGGAGTATTAAATTTTCAAGTTGCTATGTGCGAATAATAATTGCTTACTTATGTCCTCCCCAACCCCTATATGCTCCATATCTATGCCTCCACCTCGCCCCCAACAACATTATGCTGGCTTTTTGTTTCTTTTTTACAAACTGCAATAACATGCTGTATTCTATAATAATACACTGTATACTCGCATTAGTGGAGTGGTCATAGAATATTTCGGCCAAGCTTGCTGTATGGCAAGGCCGTAGCTGGACGAAATTTTTGGGGAGGGGTCTAGGAAGAACTTAATATTATTTACTACATTTCTTACTAGAGTTTTATTTCAGGAAACGTTGAATTTTACCGTTTTTTATTGGTTATATTTTACCAATATATTTTTAATGCATTCTTTTTAAAATTTGTATTTAGTTTTTATATACTTAAATTTATAATTTTTATAATATAATAAACGTAGATACATAATAATTAATAAATATGTACATGTTGCAATAGTAGTTTAATATAAAAATCCAAATAATCTGGATAATCCGCCAAATACGGTTTTAATAATCTAATTAGAATCTGGATACTTCAGAAATCTAGATATCAGTCCCATTACAATTATTAATTAATTTTAAAACTTATTTTGTGTTTTTTGTTGTTTTTGTAGAATGAAATTACGACGGTCGCTCGTATTTCTATTGCTTGTGTTGTTCCAAACACAATGTTCGTTTGGTTTTATAAAACCCGGGAAACTGTTTAAAACCTTTTTCGGGTTAAAAAACGAACAGATCAGTACAGAACCAGCGATATTGGAAGGACAGATCTACGACAAGACTCCTGTGAAAATCGAATACCCATTACCCGAGTGGAAACCGGTTGATCAAATGGCAATCACGATCGACGAGAAACCTTTGGTCGGAGAAAATGCAAAGTTGACCGAAGATTTATTCGAAAACACAGGACAGTTGAACAATGTCTACACGGCATCGACTGTAACCGACGACTTGACCGGCAAAAAACAATCAGTAATCGATGGCGTCAAGAATGTCGTCGCCTCGACCAAAGCAGAAATTTCAAACAAAATCAGCGCCATAGCGTCCATGTTCTCCAAGTCGCCTGGCGTCACTGTACCGGACACGGAGACGGAGTACTTGTCTTTGGGGCCTACGCCGATCTGGGAACAAATTAAAAGTGCCGACGGCCAAATAGCAAAACCCAAGTCTTACCCGGGAATCCAAGACCAAGCATTCGTTCAATACCAAATTCCAGCGCGAGTAGTACCGTTCCAAAACATGTACTACTATCCGGTACCGCAACAACAGCCGTGGCCTAACTACGGTCCGGCCGTACACACCAGATGGTATCCTAATATCCGCTACCAGACCGGCGTTAACTCGGAAATCCGACCGAATCTCTATTTAAACTCTCTGCTGTCCGCCGGTGAAAGGTCTCCACTTCCGGTTAAGGTGCCGTGTGACGCCAACGCCGCACCTTTGAAGGGTCTCGAGGCGTACCCTTATGGCCAAGACACAAAAGCCCCTGTCCCGCCGAACCCTGAGCTGGATGACGTGTGGACTCAATACAAAGGGGAAAGCGATTCGAGTAAGCCGTTCAGGGGTGACATACCTTTGGAAGAATCCGCTTCGGGATCTAAGAACGACGTATCCCGACCTTTGGGTTTGTACGCTAGCGAGGACCTCAAGAAAGCGTCGTCGCTGCAAGGAGAGAGCGCGGAAATATCAAACCAAGAAGAAGACAGACTGAACAAACGTACTGACTTGAACCCGTTTAGTTGGTTAGGAAATCAACCCAGTCAAGAGGAGACCGATTTCAACGTCGACATAAGGACACCGCTGCAAAAGAGGCCCGCAGACAACGCAATACCGGTAGCCGAAATTGTAGAAATCACAACCGCCGAAGCCAACGCCAACTCATCGAAATAACATTAGAAATACACTTAAAATCACTTGTGTATTTTTTAGGTATTGACGATTTTGTCTCAAAGCCATAACAATGTTAGAATAATTATAACTTATAAAAATAATTTCGTAATTACTACCATAACGTATGCCGAATTAACGGGTTAAGTACAAGTCAACAACAATAATCATGTGATACTGACGGACAGTGTATTCCGGTAAATAGTGTCATGTCAATAATCATTTATGTACATAATAATATAGACTAATTTAGCGATATTATCTTTTAAACTGTAATGCGTGCTTAATTGTTTTATTTTGTCATCTTGTAAAAATAAAAGTTGTATAGTAGAACTTAAACTCTTATCGTATTATATTACACAGTGTTCGATGCACAGAGAGACATAGTTTGTTTGATATAACTACTAGAGTAACACTACTAAAGCAATAATGTATATACAAAAGGGTATTTTGCAAACCTTAATAAAAGCGTGCTTCAAATGGAAATTTTATAAAATGTAATTCAATTATCACGTTCACATTCAGCTTTAGTTATCTTAAATTAATTACATGCCTACAAATGAAAATAATAAGCGCATTATTATATAATAATCTAGTGAATGAAAAAACCTTTATGATACGTTTCAGTGCTGTAGTAACAGGATATAAAACAAATGCTACAATCATTTGATAATAACTATGTAAAAATGTATAAATTATGAATAAAATAAATTTCTATATACTATAGCACTTTCATATTTTAAAGAATATCATATAATTTGATTGTGTATAGCAATAAATTAGTTGAAATCTTTTTTCTGTTAATTATTTATAAATATTCTACAAGTAACTTAGTAAAAGGTTTATTAAAGAAGTGATAACCATAACAAATTATGTTTATTATGATTAAAAAATTCACAAGATTGTTTTTTGTTGCATACGTTAATTGTTTCATTTATTAACCGACTTAACTAAAACGTAATTGTTGAAGTTTTAATTAAGATTACAATAAAATAAATTTAAACAACACTAAGTGAATGTGTTTCAAATTGAAAATATTCTTATGTAACCCATTGCGTTATCAAAGTTAACGTGTCTTGATCTTCAGATGTACATACTTATAAAAATAATAATTTTTTAAAAACTTATTTGAATAAAAAACTGTATAATAAATACTTATATTTAAATAATAGGTATTATATTAAAATATAATACTTATATTTGGCTAAAGATTAAAATTATCATCATTATTACTTAGCTTAGGATGCTTTGAGGCCCAACGCTATTATCATGAGAAGGTTTTAAAGACACAAACAATATTATAATTTTAAATAGAACTAATGTATTTTTCAACACATACTTCATTTTAAACTCAAATAATTTTGTCATTAAACAAAAATTAAAATAACAATTGAAGTCAACAAATTATTTAGATAAATGTTTAATTATCAATATAAAATCAAACGTAAGTTATAAGTATATTCATCTAGAACGTATTAAAATATGTAACGTTTTTTGGACATATTTTATTCGACTTATTTAATTATATATTATTATAAAAATGTATCAACAAAAATGCTTTGAATTGAAATAACAATAAATCGTTTGAAATAATGTATTATTGTTTATTTATACAGTAACTTCAAATAAATTTCAAAAAGCATCATTGTTTGCACACTATCAATCGAGATAGTTGAATAAAGATTGTCCAAGATTAATAATTACAGCCTACAGGCGCCAGTCTATTATGTATAACCCTTTTAGATGCATAATTCTTTTTTAGCGATTTCGGGTAAACCGCATACATTAATAATAATTATTTATATCTGGTAACTGCAGTTATTATAATTATTATCGTTACGGTACAGTTAAACCGCTCAAGTGCGACGTATAAGTGTACAGTAAGTACACGGACGAGTATGAGACGTAGCCGGGATCGAAACGACGCGATATAGACCGATAAAATTTCCAAACAAATGCGCGGACGGGCAACGGAAATAAGAGTGAAAACTGACCATTCGCCAGTGTGATATTTTATTTTGTTTTCGTTACTAATTACGACTAGAACAGCAACAGCGAACAAATTAAAAAAAAAAAAAAATCCGCACACATCGGACGGGTTCATCTTTCCGGGTCAGCGACGTCCTTGGACGGCCGTCGAAATCGCCAAGAAAATATTATCATATTATAACCATCTCGTGGCGGCGTACAAGAAATATCAGCGGTTGGTGGTGGTAAAGGTAAAAAAAAAAGTAGGAGCAATTATATAAAAAGTGCTGTGAAAGCGGATCGTGGACCGAGTTGATATTCAATTGCACACCGAGCTATGTGTCGCGTTACGGTTTCTGGCGATTTTCGTTGAAACACACCTACCTCTGCCTACGTCGCCGGTAAAGAGATTTATTAAATTTTTCTATTTACCGCCGAAGCACTGTTAAGTCTAAGTACCGTCAATACGATTTTGATTTTTTTTTTTTTGTAACATCCGTTTTGATTTCGTACTCGTGCACATTAATACATAATATAGTGTCGTAACGTTTTGGGCAATAATAAAACAAAAGTATCCAACCGGCATTCGACGATGGCGGCCACGTGGTATTCCGCGGTAATGGTAAGTAAAAGAAAACCCCCCGAAAAAAAAAACAATAATGTTATATTTATATATTAATATAAAATCCGAGTAAACCGTTTTGGCGGTATGGAATAACACAAAAAAAAAAAAAACAATTATATTTTCCCCGAAAGACACCCAATACCGTTTTAGGCGTTTTAAGTGTAAAGATTGGGTAACCAAGTATCGAATTTCCACTGCGACCTTTGTTGTGTAAGTGTGTTCAGATATAAAATACTTTTGGCATTAAGTAAACGGTCGGAAGTTTTAAGTAGAAATATTTTCTCGCAATATAATATAGTATACTGTATTTGTAGGGGAACATACTCGTGAAAAATAATACAACGGATAATTATTTTTTCCTTCGCAATGAGAAAAAAATCAATTCACTAAATCCCCTACATGAAAACTGATGCCAAAAATCTAAGAACATTTTTGTTTTTATACTGCGTACGATAAACCGCAACAACACAACGATTAAAAGTTAAAAGAGACTATTTTTAAACTAAAGTTAAAAAAAAATATATATATATACATAGTACATATATACTTTTTACTTATTTCAAACGATTTTACATTAAAATTAATTATACAAAATAAAATTATTGTAGTTGTTTGTTTTTTTTCTTCGTATTTCCGTTTATACAAAAATACGAGTTCATTTTATTTTCGAATAATTGGCAAACTTGGTAACAGAAAAAAAAAACATTTTTTGACAATATTCTACGAAAGCAAAAGATATTAAACGCATGTATAGTTTTTATTTCAATAGTTTTTAAAAGTATATAAATTAAAGTTTTTTTATCTCTAAAAAAATATTTTTATTTAAATTTCTGTTATGGCATATCTACAGTTACACATAATACAAAATATATTTTTTATCAACATTTAATTGACAACCTAAAATAAAATAAATATTATCTATTATAACTATGAACTAATTATAAATTTCTTATTTAAATAATTGTTCAATTTAATTTTGAAAAAGCTATGTAATATAATTTGTATTTGAAATTTTATGATTAATCAAAAATTCGAAAGGAGTAACTATAAATTAGGTATAAATATAATTACAATTTTTTTAATTATCATTTATAGCGTTTACAACAATAGAAAAAGATTTTATACGACTTATATTTTTTAGAATATAAAGTTTTATTGTCTAACAAGATGTACACAATTTAATTGAGTTCGAAGTAACATTTTTAAATTGAATATAAATGGAAATTAAAATGCAAATTTTCATGGGAGAATCTTGTTTTCTTCTTTTTTAAATTCGTTTCACACTTTTAATTGGCTTATACATTCATACGTGAGCAGTGTTCTGAATTAAAAACTTTAGTGTACACATAGGTAAGTTTGACCTACAATGTTTTCTCTCGCTGATTTCAATATAAAATGTATAAACTAAAAATATCTACACACAATTTCTTCACGACAAATTGAACTCGAGGTTTATATATAATACGCATTATCTTAGTTTTTAATTAAAAATACTTTGCATTTGTGCCAAACCAAAAGAATAGAAGATAAAATCAAATATTATTAAGTATACGATTTTATCTTTGCATTTTGTTACAAAACCATCGTAGCGAGTAGAATGCATAAATTTAGTACGAGGGTACACGATGTGACACATTCATTGTGTACTCGTATTATCATTTTATTATCATTATAATTCAATATAGTATACTAATGGAAATCCAACAGCGGTAGTAAGTCAGATGTGCTTTTGGGCGTAAACATTGTGAGATGATGGCTTCAGTTCTTAATCTTAATACAATTTACAAAACCATTCGATAAAGATACATTGGTACGCTAAGAATAAATGGCTAATGTTTAATATATTCTCTATCATAAAATTATATTGATATCCTTCGAAAAACGTCAATCGAGTCTTAAATTGATTATTAATACAATACCAACATGTATTATCGTTTCTTTGTTATTTTCTCTATATTTTATAGTCTTTACATGGCTTACATATTTTGCAGAGCTCGTCACTTAATTTATGTACATATTTTTAAATAATTCGCGGTATAAAATATAGACTCGCATTTTGTTTTCTTGACTTGTCTCGTGGTTGCCATAAGAACGTTGATTCCTATAAAAAATTGTTTACCTTATTGATTGCTAAGAATGATATGGAACACCATATTATAAATATTGCTACAGCCACCGTTACTTTCGGTCACTTACAAGCTGCTCAAATCAATTATTAGGTTTTCAGGACTATTCAACTATAATTAAAAGGAATTGGTATGGTGGCCTCATAACTCGTATGGAACATACAACGGTATTGAAAACTTTCACCGGTGTACCAGAATTGCCTACACGAAACGCCGTCGTATCTTAAAAAAAAAACGAGCCCGCTGTAACTCGCTGAAGTAAATAGTAGGTTTAACAATTTTAAACTACTATTTTAACTTGAACTCGTCGAAGCTTTACCTACTTACTTGCTATTTATTATGTTTCGCCCACTTCGCCTTTAAACGAAATGGGATCGTTTAACATGACATTACACCGTTAGCAATTATATGTTTGGCGAATATTGCTTACGCCCTTTGAACTTTCCACTTATTTATCATGCATATACGTGTGGAACAAATGTAACGGCAACACACAAAAGAATATATACAATTTATAATATACTCGTATAATAGTAAACAACGCGAATAGCAAATGCGACAGTTTTGGCATAAGAAACAACAAGGGAAAAGTCAGCAGAGCAACAAATAATTCCGCGAAGAAAAATGTGATATGTACATGTATAAAAAAAAAAAAAACAGAAAAAGGAAACGACATGTTATAATACATTAGTATATTATGCGTTAAGCTTTCGGAATAGTTTGTTGCGTTGTGTAATGTCTCCTAATAATCGGCAAAGCGTCATTTTTTATTTTCGGTACACGAGTGTATATACTGTGGACACATTTATGGCAATAGGTTTTTTATTTTAAGACCACTGTGCTAATGACTTGCGGGGGTGGCTTTAAAAAAAAAAAAAGAAAACCCAAGCTCAACGGAGGGAACGAATCCCCGCGGGGAAAGATGTGCGAATAAATAATGTACAGGACTTGAGCAACGACGGTTAAGGCGGTAGTTATGAACCGACAGTGTCGGATGTGTCCGGGCGATTTGCTAAAGCGGATTCGGCAAAAAGCTTTTTAAACAACAAACGCTCATCGTTTTTCATCGGTACTTCGAGACGGAACTTTCACAAAGAAAACACAGCGTTAGTGCGTAAATCAACAACGCCGTTATTTTTATTTCAACATATTCTATTACTTTTGAATAAAAACACATGTCGAACCTCGACAATAATAACTGCACCTTGTCGCACCAGAGACATTTGGATGTTTGCCAAAAGGGGAATGGGCTGAAGTAACGTCACAGCTAATAAAAACAACACTATAACACAGCGATTTGAATACAACCGTTTTCGGTCGGTCTAAAAGCATTGGAATTCGATTATAAGAGGCCAACCGAGCAATGGCGTTACATTTATTTACATTGTGCGTTTACAAACAAACACCCACGTCGGTTAAAAGCTAAAGGTTCCTTATGGACTCTTTTGTTCTAATCTTATATTATGCACTCGCGTTAAAATATATCGCACTCGACCGTACCCTTTAATATAATGTTATGTAGAAAAAGAAAAAAAAATGCCTACCAGTCCCACTACCAGAGGATTGCCGGCGCAGACATTTTAATCTCTTTATAATTTTCACGGACTGCAGGCGTCCGAAACGTTATTAGCGATATTTTTGGAATTTTCAATCAAACCGACGGCGGACGTGTCAAAACGTAAAAGGCAATTTTACAAACCGCGTAGGCGTGACTAAGCTTTGTTCAATCAGTCGGACGCGCAAAAAAAAAAAAAAAACTAATAAAAAATTAAAGTAGAAAAAAAATAATAATAACCAAATTGGCATGTGTAACACTTTAAACAACCGTTAGGCCAATTACCGATTTAATTTTTGTTTGGGTTTTTTTTTTTGACAAGGCTAAAACCATATCGAACGACAGCGGTTCGCGTTGTAATTAGACGTATAATACAAATATACTGTACATATGTATACGTTGTCCACTGTTTGGCAACGACTACTAATGAGGTATGGGGGGGATGGAAAATTAACAAAAAAAAATACAGACAGACAGACTTTATATTTTTCAATCTAGCTTTTTCCAAAGGCGTTACAAACACGGTCCAGGTTCAAAGGTTAATATGTATATAACAACATTTGACCGCGCTTTGCCAGACGGTCGTCTAGTTTCTAATTGTAGTTTTTTTTTTTTTAAGTTCTAATTCGATTTCCTACGTAGGTACAATACACATATTATGTTCACATTCCAAAACAAAAGAAATTTCCAAGCGAGATGCGGACGGAATAATACGTAGGACGACTGTCGTCGGGTCCGTGGACGGTAGAATCGCAAACAGTTTATTTTTTTTTTGTCTTTGTGCTTGGTTTTTTTTTTTTTTTTTGTCTTTTGTTTCACTCTGCCGCCGCCTTTGTTCGTTCGTCTAATTTGTGTGCACGCCAAAGAAATGACGGGTCAATTACACACGCCGGAAAAGCCGGATTGTTGTTCGTGATCCCGAAACCAATGGATTGGTCACGGACCGGAGAATATTCGTAGAATAGTATGGAAAATGGAAAACAAAAACACGTCTAATGGGCCGCAATTTTTGGTTTGGTGATTTGTTATTTTTTTTTTTTTTCTTTACTTTTGCTTTCAATTGCATAATCCGGTCGATCCGATTTCCGTCAGGGGACATCGTCGTCACGCCCCGACCTGACCGATAGACGACCTCGTGTGTACAATGTTGTACATTTTGTTTAAGTAGGTTAACGTCGTGTTGAGACTTGAGTGAGTCAAATGGTCGCCACCCGAGTGTCCGGAAACCACGGACAAGTTGCTGCATACAAATATCGTCGGAAGCACTCGACGACACCGTTGTAATATTCTTGTACACGTGACTGTAGCCTCGCCCG